CCTGAGGGTTGCGATCCGTTGCCGGTCAAAAAAAAAAAAAAAAAAAAAAAAAAAAAAAAAAAAGACAATTCAGTCACAGAAAAGAAGTAGTATAACTGCGAGTCCATGAACTCATGAAGCATGGTGTTCGGTTTCTGGAAGGATACTGCAGCTGCTTCAGGGCCTGGTGGTTGATGGTGTTCATGCTGTTGTAGACAAACGTGCTGCTCAGAAGCACAGCCAGGGCAAAGATCCACAAGTCATTCTTAGGGTCACCCTAGAAAGCACATTAGAGCAAGGCACTTAAATCTACTCTCCATTCATTCATCCATTCATTCATTTGGTTGTTCATTCACTATTTTAGTTTTAGTATATATAGCTGAGTAGTAGGCAATTAACATAAATTTTGAAGATAATGTTAAATTCAAACTGCATTTTTGGCATTGACATTGACTCCCTCACTGAATGTGTAAAATATCTAATATGGTCCCAGAACATAGCAGGTGTGCAGGAATAAGTGAGCCATAGTCCTTCGCAAACTTTCTCAATCATGGGCTACATTAGGGATACATAAGCTACCTGATTGAATTCAACAAAAATTCATCGTCTTTATACAAAATGCCAGATCATACATTTGGCTATGTGGATACAAATTTTCATATGACAGTCCATGACCTCAAGAAGATGGCTTTCTGAAGTGTCAGATAAAGATATCAACATATAAAAGCAACCAAGATGATAATCTCTATCAAGATTGGAACCAAAGATATAATGTAGAAAAGGCGGAGGGGGCAAATAAACAAGAACAAGTGCTCTATGAATTCAAAGCAAGAAATGCCTATGGGGTACAATGGCAGTAGGTTGAAAACAGCTGGGCTGTAAAGTGTTGCTAAAATGTGGACTTCTGAAGGTGAAGGGACACAGGGGTGAAAAACCAACAGAGGTCAAGTCAAAATTATTAGGATGAGGTCATATCAAGGTAATACAGAGCTATTTTATTTGACTGAAGCAGTATGTCTGAACGTGGAGTAGAAGATGAGGCTGGAAACAAGGTTCAGGATGAGCCATGAAGGGCCCTGGCATAGATTTAGACACTATCCAAATCACACAGTAAGGTTAGCCAGTAGTAACTCATAAATTGTATGCTTTGGTCCCCTGAATAAATGTAATTTTTTTAAAAAAGGTTTATTCAAACTGAAATCCATTTGAAATCAATATTCCATCTTGAATTTATACTGAGGCATTGACTGAGAACTTTAAAACTGAATTTTTTTTACCTTTTTTTTTTTTCCTTTTTGTCTTTTTTACTGACCGGTAACGGGATCGCAACCCTCGGTGTTGCGCCTGCACCACGCTCAGCCAGTGAGCGGGAACCGGTCTCCACATGGGATCCAAACCCTCGGTGGGAGCGCCGCCACACTCCCAAGCAGCGCACTCTCCAGTGCACCACAGGGCCGGCCCTAAATCTGAATTTTTAAATTCACTATTCCTAAGCCACTCTCCACTCACCATGCCCCCCACCCCCCATTTTGCTGTATGAAAGCCTAAAAACTACTAGTGCTACTTTCAATTTCTACTACGGCTAATATAAATAAGGAGAAAAGACTGATGGCTGCTAAGAGTACAAAGAAAAAAAAATACCTAAAATTATCCAACTTACAGTGTTTTGGGTGAGTCTAGCTCATGCTTTTATAGAAATCAGTGATGAATTCATCTCCAAACCCAGAGACTTGGACCAAAACCTATATGAATCTTCCCAGTGTAGCTGAAGCTTTTCTAAAGGTCATTTAAATAGATTACATCACTGGAATCCTATTTTCATGGTTCCTGCCTCCAATCTCATCAAACCCATACACCTTAACTGGTAGCTATGGTTAATTCCTAAGAGCTACAACTTCCTATAGGAAGCTTTCTCTAACTCTTAGGACTGGATTAAGCTCCCACTTCCTGCATCCAGACATTCTCACTGATCACACTGTGTATTTGTTGTCTTTCCAACTAGGCTCTGAGCCTTTACCTTGTTCACTGCTTAGCATAGAGCTCTGAAACTCAGCTCCTCAATAAGTACCTCTTAAACTGTATCATTAATCCAAGGGTTAAGAATAAGATCTATCCGTAATATACCAAAGTATTTGAGCTTACTGAGGAAGTGAGTGCAAGGAAACAGAATTTAGCTTCATTGATCATAATTAAACTTCCAGTTAGCAGGAGCAGGTCACAGAAGTTGGACTGAAATTGTAAATTAAAAAGTAAATAGAGAATCAAAAGCCAAAAAGACTTGTCTATGGCTCTTTTTCTCACCTTTTCCACATCACCCAGGCCCTCAGTGTCCAGAAGGACAAGAGTGTGGTCAGGCTTGGAGGGGTGAGGCATACACCACATCCAGATGCCCTTGGTTTCTGACCTTATTGTGGAGCCCAGAGGGAAGCCTGCAAGGGAAGAGGAGAAACACTGACAGCATATAGTCCATGGGGTTACATTGCTTAATCTTGTAGGAATGTAAGTGCTTGGCTGGGGAAGGGGTTGTTTCCATTTCAACTAATTGAACCTTTATGCATATTAAGGGCTTTCTCAATAAGGACTTTGTATCCACTCTTCACCACGTCCCTTAATAGGCTTGAACTCCTCCACATTACAGAATTAATGAAAATTCTGTTAGCCTGTGTATTTTTATGTGACCCTCAAGAGGAAAGAAAAAGCATGCATTCATATATAGTATTAGAGAAAGGGTTGAGACAAAAGCTGTTTGTCTGGTTCGTCTTCACATAGTGCTTCCTTTTCCTTGTTTGGGTGTCACATTAAGAGAGGGCTTTGTAGCTCTCAAGCTCAGCATTTGGTCAGTATGGACCCACATGGGTTCAGCATGCATATCAAGAAGTGTTATTTCTGTTTGGGACACATCTGTCCTGGCCACGGCATGATGTTTGTCTTCAATGATTGCAAGGTATTTAGATTCTGTAAATCCAAATGTCATAGAAACTTGAAAAAGAAGCACAATCCTTGCAAGGTCAGGTGGACAAAAGCATTCTGGAAACCAGCTGGTAAAGAGCTGACAGTAGATAATTCATTTGATTTGAAAAACGTGGAAATGAACCTGTCGAATACCAACAAGAGCTACGGAGTTAAACTATTGTTGCAATGAAGAGAGTCAAAGAGACCAAACAGAAATGCCATGCTGAATTTAAAATGAACAGATTGAAGAAAAATAAAGAACTACAGAAAGTTCAGGACATCAAAGACGTCAAGGAAAACATTCATCTTATCAGGGCCCCTGTTGCAGGCAACGGAAAGCAACTGGAAGGAAAAATGGTACAGCAATTACAAGAGGATGTGGACAAGCAAGATGTTTCCTAAAAATCTCACTGTAACCATTTCTGTTTCTACATTTGAAAATCTCCTTTGGAGAAAGAACTTCTAAATTACTGATTTTTACATAAGCTCACTCAAATGAAAGGTGCTTAACTATACATCTCCCTTGCATTGCTTTCTGCAACAGATCAGATATTTAACAGATGATAAATTGCATCTCAGTGCTAAATCTTTACGATAGATGTGCTTATGTAAATCATGAGAATTCTGGTTGTAAATACAGAAGTGAATTGTGGTGGACATAAAATGGTCATGCCATTTGGATAACGGCATTAGGCAGGATTTATGTCATAACTAATGACAAAAATTCATATCTAGTGATATATAAAATAAAATTTTCTCTGAGTAAGATATTCCTTTTATTAATGCTATATAGAAAGGGCAATACAACAAAGAACTAACAATTTGTATGTCAGTTAGCCTCAAATAATACTTTTACTTTAATTTCAGTATTTCTTGTTTGGGTTTATTAATGTCTTAGAAGTGTATATATTACTCTACCTGACTTTAAACTATACTACAAAGCTATAATAACCAAAACAGCATGGTACTGGTATAAAAACAGAGACTCTGATCAATGGAATAGAATAGAGCACCCTGAAAATCAACCCACGCACTTACTGCCATTTGATCTTCGACAAAGGCATCAAGCCTATTCACTGGGGTCGGGACTCCCTCTTCAGCAAAGGGCGCTGGGATAACTGGATATCCATATGCAGCAGATTGAAACTAGACCCATACCTCTCACCATATACTAAAATCAACTCAAAATAGATTAAGGATTTAAATATACACCCCAAAACAATAAAACTTATTAAAGAAAACATAGGAGAAACCCTTCAGCAAATAGGGCTGGGCACAGACTTCATGAATATGACCCCAAAAGCACAAGCAACCAAAGGAAAAATAAACAAATGGGACTATATCAAACTAAAAAGCTTCTGCACAGCAAAAGAAACAATTAACAGAGCTAAAAGACAACCAACAGAGTGGGAGAAAATATTTGCAAAATACACATCCAACAAAGGACTAATATCCAGAATATATAAAGAACTCAAACAACTTTACAAGAAAAAAACAAGCAACCCAATCAAAAAATGGGCAAAAGAACTAAGTAAGCATTTCTCTAAAGAAGATATGCAAATGGCCAACAGTCATATGAAAAAATGCTCAACATCACTCAGCATCCAGGAAATGCAAATCAAAACCACACTGAGATACCATCTCACCCCAGTTAGGATGGCAAAAATCCAAAAGACACCGAAAGATAAATGCTGGCGTGGCTGCGGAGAAAAAGGAACTCTCTTACACTGTTGGTGGGAATGCACAATGGTGCAACCCCTATGGAAAATGGTTTGGAGGTTCCTCAAACAGCTGAAGATAGACCTACCATACGACCCAGCTATCCCACTCCTGGGAATATATCCAAAGGAATGGAAATCATCAAGTCGAAGGTACACCTGTTTTCCAATGTTCATTGCAGA